GCTCGTCCTCACCAGGACCCAGCAGTTGGTCATTGACCTGACCTGCACCGCTCCGCGGATAACGTGCCGCACCACGTACGCCCTCAGGGCAAACAGCAACCTCGTTGCTAACAATTTCGGACATACCAATGTCCAGCACTACGGCCGCCTCGGCCTCGTGCTCGCGCCAAAAGCGCTTCTGCTTCCCAGCAGAGGTGGGTTCATGACTCACCAAAGCTCCACTAGGAGCAGGGTGCGACGCACCCAGCGTTTTCGACTTCCAGTCGATCCATGGCTCATGACGTTCCAGCCATGCCATGCCAAGGATGAGGTCATACCTCGCATCCAGGTCTAAGACCAAACAGCGTTCCACGCTATCGAAGTTCTCAAACTTCACTCCAAGGTCGACAGAGACCTTCGACACAGTTACCAGTGTCCCCGTCGCGAGACGGACAGAGATCGTATCTCTCGTTGGCACTTCCAGTGCCTCAGCATACAGCTGACTCCCTTCCAGGGTGGAGCGACGGGCGTAGTTGCCCGAGGCTCCCGAGTCAATTAAGACTCTCCATGGCTTTGCAAAGCCCTTCACGTTCGCTTGAACGACCAGCAAGCCCGGCTTGCACACACTCTTCTCGTAAGAGAGCTCAGCTCTCTTCGGGGCTGAGCCCCGTTGTCCTCTACCTCTTCGAGGCACAACAGAACTCAGTTCTTCCCCAGTAGGCCGCCCCGCGCCTACTGGGAGTTGCCGTTTCCCGGCGATGACCCGGAGGGTTGGCTCGCCGGAGCCTCGCGCTTCTTGCGCAGAGGGCAATAGGCCCTCAAGTGCTTAGTGCTATTGCACACAAAGCATCGGCGGATGCCGGCGCGCTGCTCCGCAGCAAGAAGCTCCGCTTCTTCAGCTTCAGCATAGCTGAGGTCCATCGGCTCTGGACCGCTCGAAGAGCTTGCGCTACCAGCGCTCCAACCAGGTCGCGCCGACCTGAAGTTGTGCTCGGCATTCAATGCCACATCCACCGCCTCTTCAAAAGAGTTAGGGTGTACACGGAACACTTCCGTTCGAGCTGCGCTCACACGAAGTCCCTCCATGAACACGGTCACGCTGACCAGTTCCGGAAGAGGGTCCGCCGCCATTCCGGCGATAAGAGTTCTCAACTCTTGGACATAGTCCAATAAATCCTTCTTACCCTGGCGGGTAGCAAGGAACTTTGACCGGATACGGTACGCCTGATTAGGCGGCGCGAACACGCGCGAAAGCTGTTGCTTCAGCTGATCCCAAGTGGGAAATGCAGCGTCAACAGACGTGCCGCACGTTAGTGCCCATTCGCGAGCGCGACCTCCAAGCCTGGAGACAGCCAGCGCCACGCGCTGATGCTCAGACTGGAGCAGGGCCGATCCCATGGCCATCTCGACCTCACGGGTCCAGAGAAGGAGATTCTCTCCATCCTTCCCCTCGAAGGTTTTTACGCTCACCATGAGCGGTTTCAGTCTCATAGACTCTTCACGCGTCATCGACGCCGCCGCCGTTGCGGCGCTCATCTTCTCTTGGACATGCTCCAAGAGCGCGTTCTCGTAGCGGGAGAACGATTCCAGCCTGGCAGTGACCGCCTCTGGACCTTGCGATGCAAGATGAGCCACGCCCTCCGGGCCAAGCAAGGACATAAGCTTATTAAGCGCGTCCTGCTGCGCCGGGGGCAAATTCGCGAACACGGGGTGTTCCATCCTCGCAGAGGATATAGTCAACCGACTCAGGAGCGGGATTGACTACAAGTGCTACCAAGTGCAGCGGGGCTGCCGTAGCTTTAGCGTCAGAGGAAGACGTTCGACTCAAAGAGTCACTAATACTAAGTTCCTTATCCAAAGGACACTTACAGCCCAAGACCAGGGCTCAAAGTTAACACCTTAACTTTTATGCTTCAAAACCAGAAGTGTTTTATTTACTATTATTGCGGCCAAGCCGCCTAGGGGTAAATGTATCTCTTTAACTATCTAGCATAGTTAAACCTAATCAAATGCATAACGTGTGGCTTTCAGCCAACGTACTGAGATACCTTGTTAACTCTCCAACTTATGTACTGAGAGTTTGTTAACTCTCCGGGTACTTCGTACCCCTGTGTGCTCCACACCATGTAACCCCGTTACAGACGCGAAGCATCCGTGCATACTATTCCATCTCGTTTCGCACAGCTGCTTCAAGTGTAGCTTGTAGCCGTAGGTATCTCTCATACACACGTTGGCTTCGACTAGCCACTTGGCCGACGAGGCATTCAGGGCGTTGACAGCATCCGACGCCTGCTTGGTGACTTGGGCGTAGTCAGACTTGAGTACGGCCTTCACCAGATTATTCAAATCGTGCGCAAAACAAATTACGAAAGCAATGTTAGGCCAACGGATGCTCAATATTCTCCGAGATCGACCGCACTGTCCCGCATTATCAGTAACCACAGCTCAATTCTCCAACCGTCCTTCTGCATGCTGAGCATCACCCCCTCCATTTGCTCGGCGATGGCGACACCATCATGCCGAGAACCGGTGGCAAAAAGACCGTAGACTAATACAAAGCCGAACAAAGCTAGCTGGCACCCTAGTAGGTGTGCACGTGCGATGTTCTGCCATACATCAGACAAAAAGTTAACGCGACCACCAGTGTTGTCTTGGGACTTTCTAAGTGTTGAATTCTCATGGGTTTCACAAGCCAATGCGTATTCATCAAGAATTGGCCCACCTAATGTCTTGCGCCGTGGGAGGGGATCGACACTACCACTCATTTTGTTTGCTTGACGAAGAAGACGAGCCGTTGACTTGCGCTCAATGAAACTGTCGGGCAAGTTGTTGTCTGCTTGGAATTCAAGAAGTAGACGCTGCAAAACTTTAGTATCGTCCTCTTGTGATATTCCAGCATAAAATTCGTCAATCCGTTTCTGTCGTCTTGGATTTAGCTGCTGAATTAACGCGTCGTAATCGGAGGCTAAGCGCTGCGCTGTTGCCACGCTGCCATCGTCGCCTGCTTCATGATCGGATCGATTCGAAGCCAAAGCGGCAGTGCTAGTAGCTTTCACGAAACCAATAAATCCAGTACAGCGCTTTAGATGGCTCTTGAAGTTCTCGATCCTTCCTTTTATTCTTCTCGGTTCAGGTAGACTGTACGTCCCATCCGGCTGCCTGGAGTCCTTGTATTCTTGGTCACAATGCTTGCAAACGTGCCACGAGCGGCCGTTCCCGCAATCAATTTCAAGATTTACAAACTCCAAGCGCTCTTCACTCGCGGGATGCCCCATACGCGGCAGGTGTTCTGTTTCAGCTCTCACGCAGATCGACAGTTTATTTGGAGAGGAGAGGGTATCTATTAAGACTGAGAAAAGAGCGTTCGTGCGGTGAGTGTGGATTGTGCTAAAATACCATCATCAAGATCAGTCGGTCTCCCTCGATACTAGTACTACTACCGGCCATCGTGCGCTTTTGTCAACTCTCAACCTGGTCGGTTCAAAAACCAGTCCTCGACCAGGTGGCCCATGGTGGAACTGGTTTTTTGACCTGGTTGAACCATGGTTTTTGTAAAACCAGTAAAACCAAAAACCAAAAACCATCCAACACTGGTAGAATACATCTAAGAAACAAGACGTGACTCTCGGCCGACTGGTCTTCAGCCTCTTCATCGACAATCGGTGCTAGTGCGAGCAACAACTTTTCCGAGCGCTGGTCGTGAGTGATGGTCGCTCCTCGGCTACGCCGAGTGGTGACCATTGTGATGAAGGAAGTAGTCGTAATAACTGTAAGTTGCAGGGACTGAAAGTCCAGCAGGGGAGAAAACCGAGTGCTGCTGCTTGCTCTTGACGGCGCAAGTTGTCGAGTGTGTAGCAGCACACGGAAAAACCCCGGTAACATATATTGGTAGGATTAGCAGTAGGATGGGGCTGGCGGCTCGCCAGCCAATGGTCCGTCGAAGTCCGGCTTCTGGACGCGAGCATCGCGTCCTGGAGGCACCTGAGCCTCAGGTTTGAGCTGGACGCAGTCCTGGCTCTTCCTCCACACTTCACAGGTCGTGTTAAAAAAACCGCAAAAACGGCGACATAGTGCTCCGATTGGAAGCTCCAATCATCAGGCATGACACCAAACGAGGCAGGAAGAATATCGGCGATCTCCATTTCAACCTCCTTGGTCAGCAGGACCGCATACTTCAGCAGCGTCTCCGAGCAAATCGTTTTCATGGTCGTGTACTTGCCACAGTAGGATCTTCGCAAAAGGAGAAAGGCAGGTTGCACGCCGTGACGTAGTCGAGCCAGGAGTAGATCGTCTGTCTCTTCTGGTCGATGAAGCTTACGAGCGTTCCCGAGTTGACCCCGCTGGTGGTCATCGTTGCGACGTAGTCAGGGTGTTGCTTCGTCACATGAAGGAAGAGATTGAAGTAGCCAGTCTTCAAGTCTTTTTGCAAACTGTACCACACTGGCAGCGGTAGTAATCGGTAGGCTCGTCTTGGCCATCGAGCAGCGGCGTGAAAAAGTAAGAGCAGACTTGCTTGGTACTGAAGGTGGCTTTAGAGGTCATGGCGAAAGCAGAAGTGAGAGATAAATATTAATCGGGAGCTTTACATCATGCACCGTTGGTGCGTGCAGCACCAACCAAGTTGTAGGGCGTAACTACGAGGTATATGAGAGCTGTGAGTGGGCGAAACGTAAATTTCGTAAAAAAATGAATGGCTTGGACTTGGTAAAAATAAATTACTGGCGATGGACTGATTTTTTCCCCAAAAATAACTGTTAAATATTGTATTGGATTTCCAATACAAGTACTATTTCGGATTCGGCACAAGTGGAATTGAATTGGCACGAGTTTCACGGATCCAGCGTGGTAATGATGCTGATTCGGCACTGTCCTGCGCTCAAAGTGCCCGACATTTTCAAGACAATTTACGGCCTTGTCAGCATTGAAATTTATAACTGATTGTTGTTGAGAGGCAAGATTCCGCCGCTATTACAAACGCGAATCATCCTGGGCTTCTATCACTCATACTTATCCACGTCAATATGACGGACGGTGTTCTTACTCAAAGGTTCTTGTCCAATGACTTTCCGCTGCAGTTGTTCGATATTGAAATGTGCGTCTCGAATTTGAGGGAGTTGCTTGCTGATCTTGACGCAAGGTGGCCGCGTGGATCGTGCGTGGTCATCGAGCAGAGCCAACTACGCTCTGTATCAGCGTCGTTGCTTCGCCTTATGCCAAGCTATCTATCCTTGAAGGGAAATCCAATAAGCACGCTTTTAATACCACCAGAGATTTTTGAGATCGAAGGACTGACTGACTTTGGGTATTGGCAGCACGGACATCCGTGAGCCTCCTCGCAATGTATCTCAACCATCCTCGACTCTCACAACAATCTACATGTATGATACAGACAAGGCCTACTTCTGGCCGTGGGTAGAAAATCTAACTCAGTGTCAGCCCATTCTAGCCGGCGAGTCCTTATACTGCAGTGAATTGCAACCGGCGCAGCTAATTCTTTTACGGCCTCGCCATCACCAGAATTTTCAGTCCAATTGATGGACTCAGCTAATGCTGTTGCTGGTGGTTCAATTTGGTCGGCTGTGGGCTGTAGTTCTCCCGTCAGTGGAATTACTGGCCTGCTTTATCCACTTGTCGATGAGATTAGCAAAATGCGATCAACTAGTCTCAACACCGAGCTGAATTTGTCGCGACATCACTGTAGCGATGTATGACAGATGCAGCATCATATCAGCGCTTATGAACGTCTATTGCTGGTAGTTACTTTAGCTGTTCACTGTTGCTTGTCCACACGTTTAGGAAGTGGTTGCTGTTGCTTCGTAGCGGGTGACGCAGCTTGATTCTCCTGGTAGCGATTGTACACGATGCCGCACGTGAAAATGAATTGCGTCGTCAGCAAGATGTTCCACCGTTGGCCCCACAAGTATCCTCTTAGTCCTGCCGAAGCTGCCATCGTCGCTTGTTGGCTTGTCAGTAAAATTGACAAAAGCTATCTTCGTAAATATTGTATTTTATTCTTGAAATAACAATTTTGCAGAATGGACGACGACTGGCGCGAAGATGGCAGCTTACGGGGATTGAACGCTAGCGGCGGCGTCACAGGAAAGGCCAAGGGCAAAGGCAAAGGACCT